AAAATATTCATAAACTTACAGTTTTCTGTAAGCGTGTGCGTGTGTGTGTGTGTGTGTGTGTGTGTGTGTGTGTGTGTGTGTGTGTGTGAGCGTGCGTGCGTGTTTCTTTACCAGATTCAACTTGTTGGGCCCTTTCAGGACCAGTATTGACGCCACCTTTCCTGGAGTCTAGCAGATGTTTCAGGTCCAAATATAATCTTAACTATTAGGATAAGCAGAAGAGGAGAAGTGCAGAGCAAAGAGCAAAACATTATTTAAGTAATATTTCACCCACAATACAAAACTTATCACCTTCATGTCATTTGTTATTCTCTAATGCTCTAATACCTTCTCAGCTTATTGTGAAACAAATACAGAACTTTATCAAACATACCTTCATTATTATCACCACATATGACCAAGAAGGTGTGCTTGGTCATTTCACCAACTCTGGAAATACACCATCCGTCTCTAATCAGCCACCGTCACAGGGTCTTGTGTTATTGTATAGAGAACTGTGGGTGTTAAAAAACAACAAAACATTAGTATCTAACACATATGCATAACCTTCAGATAAAAAAAAGAGAGATGAACATCACAAAGTATGCCTCACACTTTTTCAGATATCTTTTGATTCAGATGTTGATTATTGATAATAAATCTACAAATCAAACCTGTATCATCATTAGGCTGATCAAATATGAATCAGTTGATTAATTTTACAGACAGGTGGCTGTTTACAACGCACTAAATTGTCTTTAATAAAACGGAAATGTTGTGTACAGTACATGCTAAGTTTAGCCTAGTTTTAAGCACAATATCATGCGTAAGAAAAAGCTTGACTAAGATGTTCCTAACTACAGAAATAGCCTAACTTACTAACGTCAGACATCCCGAGTTGGGAAAAGTCATTTTCGGGGGATACAGAGTTGATTTGCGGGAGGTAGCGGGAGAGATGAGTACCTGAAGAGCGGTGGGGTGACTTGCGCGCGACGTACCTAAAGAGCGGAGGGGGTGACTTGCGCGCGACGTACCTGAAGAGCTGGGAGGGATGCGGTGGAGAGGGGTGTGCAAAGTGTTTAATGACCGGGCGGGAGACGCGCGATTTCCGGGAGATTATCATTCATTTGCGGGCATCTACTTAGGCATCTGGGAGTCTCTGTGCATTTGCGGGATAACGTTAACGTTAGTCCCGCAACTTCCGGGAGACTTCTGTAACGTCAAATGTCTGAGAAAGTGCAAACGCGGTCATTTAAAGACATTAATGTTAACATTCCGACTTTAATGGTTGTCAACACTTAATATAATTCAAGCGTACGTTATCACGCGAGTCTATGGACTAACGGTATATGGACGGCCACGAATGAACCAGTTTAAAAGGGCTGCGGTGTTTAAAATAACCAAATTAACATACACGGATAACAAACAATCATATATTTTAATCAGGAAGCCTTTTACAAGTAAGCATATGTTCATTTACTCACCAGATATGTTTTAGAAACTCTCCAGAGCTTATGGAAACCGTCCTGTGTTGCCGTTAGCATCCGGGCAGAGTAGGCTAGCGCTCCGGGGATTCCCTCGCTAGTTTGCTTAGAATTAAAGGAGAAGTGTCGATTTTATTTTACAGATGGGTAACAACGCACAAAATGGCATTAAGCGTGACAGAAATGTGTTGAACATGTACATTTGATGTTTTTATGCACTATGTATGCGTGAGCACATATAAAAACATTCTTGAAAAGAAGTCGATAGTAATGCAGTTAAGCTAGATACACAAACGACCATGAATGAACCGCAGAAGATTAAAATTGTCACTACATTCTAAAGTTATTAACTTAACAATATGTTTACAACTGTATTTCCTTAAAGAAAGTCAGTAAAATACCAACATTTAGGTAGTTTGACTCACCAGTTGCTGTTCTAAACTTCAGATGGAAAATGGCGTCTGGAAAATTCTTCAGTGACTGGGGCTGCATGAATTCCCGGATGTTGGAAATAACACCACCAAGTGTAAAAAAGATAACTCCTTGATTTCTCACTGAATAAAATCAATTCTAACTCTTATTATATTCATTTATCAAAATCTAACTCTTTAACGTCAACACTTTACTCTGAAATGCTTCAACACCGAGAATTTAACTCTGATGAATTTGCTGTGTACCTGCCAAAGTAAAGTCTGTGTGGGAAGCACTGACATTTCCTAGCGAGACTACAACAATTAATTTTTAAGTATAACGAGTAATTATACTTACTAAGTATACTTATGCTTATTTTGAAAATAAAATAAAGTTCAGTATTATAGAACTAATTATAGAACTAATTATATTATAGAACAGTATTATAGGTAATCTAATCTGTCATTGAGTATCTCATCTCTTCAGCTTGTTGTCATAATGCAAAATCGGAGAAAGATCGATTATAAATTTATTCAGCGCACACCTAAGAAGCATAACATCTTGTTAATGTGTATATTGTGAAATTCGCCATGTATGTTTGTAAGGAAGCAGCATGAGGTCTGTTTAGCTGTATCTTTGTTAGTTTAATGTGTGTATTGTTAAATTCACAGCATAAGACCTGTCTAACTGCATATTCTGTTAGTTGAATATACATATTATGACAGTATTTAATGAGTCAAAAGTATGCTTGTTCATAGTGAGTTTGGCAATGAGGGAAAACTGTTGTCAAGGCTATTTCATTCATGTAAACATCAGATGAACTGATTATTTTATTTATAATACAGACAATGCACTAGTTTTTTTGTTATGTGTTATCTAAGTTAGCTATAAAAAATCAATTAAAAACTCACTTGATAAAAAGCATGACTACACTAGTTGAATTTGTCGACACAAAGGCTTTCTACTACATATGCTAGTGTAAAGGAGGCCAGCTATGAGTAATGCTCACTCCTGTGATTTCAAGAAGTGATCTGGCATTAGACACTATCTGCAGTGAGACTAATGATATTACTCTTGGCCAGGCGAGGGACACTCATTGGCATCCCTGCTGCTGGAGGTGCCTTAGATGTCCGCTTAGTTCGCATTTGCATAGATATACCATTAAATTAAACACAAGTACTAATTCATTGAGAATAGTTCTTGTTTAATTAATGACACACTATATCTAGTCTGTTGTTAGTTGTAAGATATTTAGCATTTTTGCCATTGACTTGTGTTAGGATAACTTATTCACTACTTATTAACTACTGAGTTTTGATTAGTATGTATTCAAATTGTGAGTATTTGATGTACTATATTACATGTTTCTAATTAAAATATTTGCTTGTGACTACAAGTACAACACTGTATGTGCACATTCTGACTGTCTGTCAGAAAACATTAAAGAGACAGATGTCAAATACTGTTCTCTTCCACAAGATCACTTAAAGTAAGTAATGATATAAAAAGGCTCAGAAATTAGGACACTGGTGGTTTCAAAAAGCACTACTTTTTTAAGATCTTCCCTCTGAAGTTGAAAATGAGGGATAAATTATTGCAGCAGTCCATTTGGCGCAGCAGATTTCAGGATTTTTTTTATATATATATTAGACATATCTTAAGATAATTATACCTCAGGTTTGATTCTACTGAATAAAATTTTGCCTTTTATAACCTTAAAAAGAAGTAGCTCATGTCTGTCACCAACAGACACTTTTATCTACACTTTCATCTGTTGATGAGGTAAAAACTCACGCAACATTCTCAGCTCAATATTCCCTGTATTGATTTGTATTCTCACTTTCATGTGAGTCTATTTTATGTCTCATGTCAATTCATTAATTTGCTTTGAGCAGAACCTCTCACACACGTGAACAGGATTTACTGGGTTAATAAAAGAAGCTGCATTATACTGACTTAAAGCCATGAACGCTTTTGATGAACATTTGTTTCTTGATTCATTTCCGTACGTTGTTTGTTTGAGCTCAAATCCCTTGATTAAAATATCCTGCTCTCTTGGATTAATGTCTTCAGTGGGATTTTTAATCAAGCTGCCAAAAGCTTTAATGGCCAAGAATTATTCATAATGATGGAGGAATAAAGGTGTAATAAAACATTTGGAGCATCAAACTGAGACATGTTTATAACAGCTGAGAATCTGGCTGGCTTTCTCTTAGTCAAACAATACATAGATGTTAAAATGCTAGTAACATAAAGAGTCGTTCTGAATCTGATCAGTCAGCAGAGATTTTGCCAGAGGCTCCATTATGAAGATGTGCAGAAGATGAACCTGCAGTGTAATGCTTTCATATATAATTCATGTTATTCATATTTAATCTGTTTTCATATACGGCAACTGGCAAAAAGCCACCTTTAAATGACTAACTGGAAGACAGAGTCACGTTTTACTGAAATACTTGAGATTGTGGTGTTACATTGATGGTGTTTTTGATTTTAAATGCAGAACAAAACTAAGGTTAAAAATTATCAGCATATTAAGCATTTAATATTAACTGTGACTTTCAGTTATCATTATTTTATAATATGCTGTGTTTGTTCATTTGTGCAGATAATTTAAAGAAAAAATTGTAGTACCATAGTATTTTTGATTTAAATAGCCTTAATGTGGTGAAGTTTCTCATTTTAATATAATTTTATCAGTTCTAATCTATTCAGATTTTATTTAAATGGAAATGGAGTTTTTCTTTATGTGACTGTATTAGAGATGGAGAATCTCTGATCCACAGACACAGTTAATGATGAAGGTCTTTTTCTTTGACCCAAAACTACCTGTCTTCATAGCCAATCCTACAGGGAGAGATTTGATGCAGCAGCAGAGTTTCTCTCAGGGGTGAATCCAGTTGATTCCCAATAGCAGTCAATGTTTCTTCATATCAATGGATAAAAAGGCTTCACTAGTAAGAAATATGAGCTGGAATTTCCAGAAACACTTTATAATTTAATTTATAAAGCCAATCAAAGTGTTGTTCTCTTTTGAAAGTAAAACAGAAGCTTGTATGAGAAAGTGTTATGCATTTGATACTGTAAAATAACCCAATAAGATGTCTCTCTGTCTCTAATCCACAGGAGAAGCAGAGGTTTCTGACTGATGTCCTTCATGAGGTGATGTTGCTGGACGGTTTGGCCAGTTCTCACCCAATCTCTCAGCAAGTGTTTGAAGCCACAGACATCGACAGAGTCTTTGACTGGATTGCCTATAAGAAGGCAAGAGAATCTCTCATAGGCTCCTACAGGCTTTATCTGCATGATGGAAATGACTGTAAACCTTTAATATTTATCTGAACAAGTTTATACTAAACAAGTAAAGTGAAATTCCATGTTTTACTTTCCTTTTTATGAGCAGCCAGTTGAAGAGAAACAATGACTTTGCAAAACAGTAGTATCGCTGGTCTAAATCAGCCTTTTATTAAGTGTGAGGCCTTCACCACACTGATAAAACTTGATCTTTTATTAAGTCCAGTAAACACCTCAGTTTGCTTGTTATTTTCTCCTGCTAAAATGTTCCCAATCTATCTTTGTGAATAGTAAATGGAGTGGCGCTGTTATAAGCCTCTTCACATAGGCAAGAAAAACAGTTTAATTAAAAGCTTGTTTTTAAGTAAGTCGAGGAAAGAACCCGTTACATTGTGAGAGATTGTGAGGTTTCGTTACTCTGGGGACTTTAGTGGCACAATAAAACCAGACAACATCTATTTAATTACTCTTTCTCACTGGAACACACTTTACTGGTAACAACTCCAGCACCCAAATAAATCCTCTCATCTCCGACATCTTAAGGCCATTAAAGGCACAGGAAGCACTTAAGAGAAAATCTGGTCCTCTGTCAGAGATCAGACGCAGAAAAAAGCCAATCAAAAATCAACTCTCCTTCCAGCTGTCAATCAACTCAAGACCAGAATGTGATTGGTTTTTGTTCTTCCTCAAGCCCTGCCTCTGTTTCCCCTCAAGTCCTGTGGCATTATGAACTCTGTCAGTCAAACTACAGTGATCGTGACATTGAGCCTCATCGCTTCCTCCCACAAAATATCCCATGAGACCCTGAGCTAACAGGAAGTGACACGCATCACACAGACGGATGGGAATGAGATTCTGTCGAATAAGCATGTCAAAGTCACTCAAAGTCACAAAAAAATACACATTTATTAAATAGCAGAACACAGCAAGATGAGTGTCATGGAGTCCTTGTTTAGATTAACCAGAATCATGAAACACAGATTTAATATTATTAAATTATATTAGAAATAAATATTAGAATTATTTTAGATGGAAAATGTCTTAACTGTTATAATAATTTTTTTTCCAACTAAATGCAATACATTTTAATTAGTAAATTGCAAAATGCTGTTTAAATAAAAATAGAAAATATATTTGTAACCAAATATTATTCCACCAGAATTATGATATTCACAGTTCAATTATGACACATTTATATAAAATCCATAGTCTGTAAAAGACATGCACATAGTATCTGTGATGTCACCCATAGGTTTCTGAAAAGCGCAACTGAAGCAAGTAAATGCAGTAAATGCAAGGCTATTGCTGAAATCTAGGCATAACACTGACATTTCAGATGACTGATCTACAGCCTACAGTTAATCAATCTGTCAGATTCTGGAGGGCATTCAAATTCTAAAGAAAATGATGAATGATAAATTATCTTAAGTAAAACAAATAGATTTATAGAAATGATAATATAATAATTTCACTCACCTTGGAAATGGAGGCAACTTGAATGGTTTGTGAGCACAATTAAGTGCACACAGTATGCCATATTATTAGATAATTGTATGATATAATTACAAAAATTGAATGTGTAAAGCCACATAAAAAAATAAAAAAAAAAATACAATATACAGTTGAAGTCAGAATTATTAGTCCCCCTGAATTATTCGCCCCTCTGTTTAATTTTTCCCCAATTTCTGTTTAATGGAGAGCAGATTTTTTTCAACACATTTCTAAACATAATAGTTTTAATAACTCTGATTTTATCTTTGCTATGATGACAGTCAATAATATTTTACTAGATCTTTTTCAAGACACTTCTACACAGCTTAAATTGACATTTAAAGACTTAACTAGGGTAATTAGGTTAACTAGGCAGGTTAGGGTAATTAGGCAAGTTATTGTATAATGATGGTTTGTTCTGTAGACTATCGGAAAAAAATAGCTTAAAGGAGCTAATAATTTTGTCCCTAAAATGTTTTTTTTAAAAATTACAAGGTTCTTTAAATCTAGCCAAATAAAAAACAAAAACAAATAAGTCTTCCTCCAAAAATATTAACTGACATACTGTGAACATTTTCTTGCTCTGTTAAACATCACTTAGGAAATGTTTAAAAAAAGGAAAAAAAATTCAAAGGGGGGGTTAATAATTCTGACTTCAATTGCATATGCCGAGCTCACTAACTAATCAGAAAGAATCAGCTGAGCTGAAGAGATGGCGAGCAGCAAGACCTAGCTGTCACTCAAGTCACCATGCCCTTAATTATGCAGACTTAATATAACAATATAAACAAAACGGATAAGTTATAAAAGCATTCACCCCGCTCACAGTTGTCACAAAGGGTAATATTAGCTATATGAACCAAAATAATTATTTGTACCAGGCTGTAAACGTTTTTATCAGCTGTAAAATTGGGCAATTTAGCATTGCAGTCAGTGAACATCTGGAGTTCTTGGAGCCAGCCCCCAATGGCGAGTCGATGAATTGCAGTTTCAGTAACTTCCGTATTGTCTTTACAAAGGAGCACGGCATGTTGTCGCTTGGTAAAATCAGATAATATAGACACTATTTCTTTAAGAGAAATACAAGCTTCATATTTGTGCATAAAACCTGCATAATGTCAAATCCTGTTATGACTATCGTTATATTTTGATTATTGTTTAAGTTAATTTGAATTGCCAGCATGTGACCTGGTTATCCTCTTTATTAAGCCTCTTAATAAGTATGTTTTAGTGTACTGTATATGTGAACAGTAGTCATGTGTGTAGCAGAAGAAATGACTGAAGGCGTTTTTACTGTGCTTCTTCAGGGAGCTGCTCTGATCCGAATGCTGGCAAACGTCATGGGACAAACACTATTCCAGAGAGCCCTCAATGTAAGTCAAGACGTTCTTTCATCTTTTCTCCTTGTGGTCACAGAAGATTTCACACGCATGTGTGTGTTGCTACTGCTAATATGTCTCACAAACACGCTTATAAGGCTTTATGTTATATTGTACATTCTGCTTTAAAAAATCAACAAATGTGTCTTAATTTATTATTTATTTCAGAAGTTCAGTCCTTGTTAAATCTGTGAAATGTTATTTTTAGGGAATCTGAATGTGCTAAAAACAATTCTCACCATTCTCAGCATGAATATTGTGACAAATATTGTTCTGAAAGTCACGTAGGTTTCTGCCGTAAGCGTTTGTGAGATTATAGGAGCGTGTCTGTTTACATGCTCTTCTTATCTTCAGAGCTACAACAGCTTGTGACGCGCTGCCATCAGCTTGAGGTGAAAGCCACACAATCAGACAAGCTATTAAACGTGTTCACAAACTAATTGAATGCATTCACAATCAGAAGATAAACATGTGTCTTCATTCTTCATATATGGGGAAAAACATTATCTTCATTAAAGCACAGGTCTGCTATTGTGTTTAAACTGAATATGAAAGTCCAGGGCTGAAGTTTCAGTGTGAGCCTTTATATAGTATTTTGTAGTTTTTCCTCAAGCTCTTTCCCTATCCGTCTCAGTCCAGACGCCCTGGAGAGTGAACAGCACATCTGTGATGTAATATTAGTGACTTTTCTGGACACCATATGGCTGCTGTATCAGACTGCATGCTGAAATGTGGTTAAAGGACCTGAGCAGTAAACAAAAAGGCTGCAGGTTAGAAGTAAATCTGTAATAAATGTAAATTAGGCACAACTCCTTCATGCTTTAATGTGTTTTTACAGAGATGTGCAGTTACAAAGGTGAAAAACTCACAAATTCATCACCTTTTAGATGCAGATAAAACATCCGTAACTTCTTATTTCATTTCTTTATGACTTTGATGCTTTCAAAAAATCTGTCAGTTTCACAGTGAATTTCTGGGTTACTTTTGATGTTGTTGTTGTTGTTTTTATTGCTATTAATGGCACAATCAGGTCATGTTTTTTGTGTTGTTGTTGTTGCATAAATACAAATGTAATAATGTACAAATTTACAGATATAACATTTGCACATACGCGCTTCGTATTTCAGCAAAAATACACCTCTTAAATTCCCCTGAATACTCTGCAGTCTGTGTTAATAACACTAAAACTGCCAGTGCGTGTACATTTTACCCACACACGAGGCTAAACAAATATTATTTCACTGTATTACGCCACTGTGTTAACAAAGAAGGGTCTGGAGCCATGAAATGATTATGTGTAGTCATCAACTGTAATTTTATCCTGTTGTTTTAATTTGAGGCTTTTCATTGCAGATGACACACTTTTAGAATGCTAGGGTGTATAAGCTAAAGTCTGCATCAACACCAAGATTTAGAAGTAAGGAAATACATATTTTGTGTGGTGTAAAATTACAATGCAGTTTTGTTAATCATACAGTATATTAAGATGTGAGATGTGTATTACCACACTGCATATGATGTATGGTGCAATGACAAATTCAAGCTCACCGTTTCACCTAATTGACTATTAATATGGTTAGTTTTATAATTAAAAGTTTAAATAAGAGAACAACTCTACAGTTTAAACATTCATAATTTGGCTAAAACATCTAAATTGTATCATTCACTGTGTCTCGGGGGCTCTGGATGAGCTGTCAAATGAGCTGTCAGATACTGAGGTGACTCAGGACACATCACTTATTTCCCTACAATAAGATTCTCCATCATTTCTGGCATTGTGTGCTTCTAATACCTCTACATATTGCCTTCTTTTACTCATTGTTACTTTATGCATTTATTATAACCACTACTTCAGTGAGCGAAAGTCATTGCCTAGCAACATACAAGGTTAAAACATAAGCATTGCATAAATGCAGGTATTATATAGAGCATGTAAATTAAACTCGTGCTGGTGCTTTTAGATATAAGTGCCCCATTTTTTGAATTTGGTTTTGTCTGGAATTTGTGATTGAGACTATTTTAGCAAAAGTCAATGACTGCGAGACTTTAATGTTTTATTAAAGGTCTGTTATGTACATTTGGAAATGTAAAAATGTACCCTTTGGTGGTTCTAGTGTTCAAGAGAAGACTTGCTTCATTCAACATGTCCGTGTCTGTAATCAGCTCTGTTCTCTCCTCTGCTGTCTGCCTGCCTCTGTTGACTGAAGCTGATTTCATTCTCTCAGTGTCTCTCTTTTGCTCTGTGTGGCATCTCTTCTCCTCCTCGTGTCTCTCCAATATTGGAGCAGCAGACAGACGTGAAGCTGAACTCTTCAGAATACTTAAACAGCAGACAGATTGAAGTCCATTACCCATCTTGCTCTCTCTCTTTCTGTGAGCACGAGGGTGTCTTCATTGGTAAATGGTGGATGCGCTGCTGGGGCGGAGGATGAATGTCTCTTGTAAAGAGTAGTGGGAGTCATAAATGAAGTCTACTGCTGGAGTGATGAAGCTCCGCCATGTCATTTACACACACTGCCCATCGCTTTTAAAGCCACTTTCAGATGGATCATATTATGGGATGGAAGAAATAGTCATTCCGCCTGGAAATGTGAAATCGTGACCTGTGAATAGCAGAGGACAAGTGTGCTTCTGCCCGGGAGAAATAAACTCCAGTGCGTTACAGTCCTTCTTCATCCTCCGGGTGTGATTTGAAGCTTCTCCTTCCCTGAATTCCTGTTTGTCGGCTCTCAGCGGGTTCCTGACTTGGAGAAAGACACTCTGTGAAATCCCCGTGGATGTTGTGGGATAATAATCTGCTCTGAACACAGATGAAATCGCCAGATACTCCTCGATTCAATTTGCCAACATCCTGGAACACAGAGAGCATCCATTTTTCCCCGTCTTCCTCTTCTTCTCCCTCCGGCTAGGCTGTTCCGCCTCATTATTACTGTTTTCTGTCTCTCTCTTGTGGGAACTTTCAGCATCTCTGTCTGTCTCTGAGTGATTGATGAGAAGAATAGGTAAACACAGCACCTCACCAAACATTCTGCCTCCATTGCCTCCAAATTACTTTTCATATGCAGGAAAATTGTAGACATATTTCTTCTCGTATTACTTTTGAGGGAACTCATTTAGTTGGATGAATAATGAATTATTTATGATCTGCTTTGACTCTGGTGGTGAAGGCTCTCTTAGAAATCTTGTGTTCTAGCTCAGGGGGATTTACATATCGAAAGCGATCAATCTTTTGTCTCCCTTTATAAGTAATTTGACTTTGCAGAATCAGGAGACAGAACTGAATGCGGTTATAAAACCCGATGAAGGGTCATTTAGGATATTATTTAATCCTAAAAAGTCTCTGAAGAATAACTAGCCACTGCTAATTACAGTGAATTAATTACTTACACAACATTCATAATGGAATCTTTTTTTGACTTATGAAATGAGATCCAATTTAAGCTGTGTGTCTAGTGTCTAGTGTAGACTAGGGATGGAAAGATTGCCTCATTCACTCATCATTCTTATGCATGTGCATAAAAAGTTAAGTAGTTAAGGTAAAACTTTCATAAAACCAGAGAGAAAGCTGCATGTCTACAATAGTATCCTGTGTGAGCTGTAATATAACTGTGCTCCTATTAGTCAGTGTTTGAGGAACTGATCTTAGGCTCATAACAAGGTTAACTTCCTAAAATACCACAGTGACTGATCTTAATCTTTGTTTAAATTCTTAAATTACTGTAATTGAGTAGTTTTTCTCTGGAATAAAACTTTAATAGGTAGTTTCAACATATGTACTTTTACTTGAGTACATTTTAGGCATAGACACTTTATAAATGTATCAAACATGTATTGTGTGGACGCATTAAAAGTGTATAAAAAGATGCAAAATCATTACACTCATTGACCAAGAGACTGCATGTTACTGATGCGAAGATGAAGGATGCCTACTGTATGATGACTGAAATCACCAAACTGCTTTAAACAATAACTAAATGCACTACAGAATGTTAATTTATTCATTCATTTTCCTTTGGCTAATTTATTTATTTATCAGTGTTGCAGAATGAACCTGCAACTATTTTGTGCATGTGTTTTACGCAGCTGATGCCCTTCTAGCTGCAGCTCAGTACTGGGAAACACCCATACACTTTCGCATTGACACACGCACTCATAAGCAATGGCCAATTTTGATTTATTCAATTCACCTATACCGCACCACATGTCTGTGGGAGCACTCAGAGGAAACCCATGAAAAACTCAACCACTGTGCTGCCTCTACAGAATGTTACGTTTTCAAATACATGTACAAACTGCATAGATCATATATGGTTTGGTTTGCTAGACACTCGTAGCTTGTTAGTCAGGACTCAAAGTGTTAACATATTCTATAGTGCACAGCAAAATTTTTGTCCGTTAGGTTACACATATATTGCTCTACATGTTAGCACATCAGCCTGCTTTCTGTCAGCTTGTCATAGGTGCATACAGTATATTAGTGCTCGATGTTCTCACAATAAATGAATCTCATATTTTAAATGTAGTGTCCAATGACAAATAATTTAACTTACAATGCGAAACAATTTTACAAGTATGACACTAAGCTACACTGGTAATTTGCAGGCTACAAGGTGGCATCTTTTCCACAGCATATTACCCATTATTCTTGAATACTTTTAGAAGGACTACTTTTTACTCACACCCTAAGTGGTAAAACACTTTTACTCTACTTGCACTACATTATTTGACAAGTAATGGTACTTTTACCTGAGAATGTTTTTTTAGTACTCTTTCCACCACTGGTTACATTTGTGTTGAATCAGATTGATTGTTGAATCATATCATTGTATGGATTGTCACTTTTTATGAATGTTAAAGGTTTACGAAACCCTCGAGTACTTTTTTGTAGATTTTAACAAATTTGTGTGTGTTGAGCATCAGTTAAGACAATGTTAGCACCTGTCAACTTTAATTGTGGGAAAAACTGGATAATTATGAGCTTTTGTCAGCTAATT